TAGATATTTTAATGATGTTAATTCTTCAATCCATGAATATGGTATATGCTTCCATTTGTTTGTATTTTCCTCTATTTCTTTTTTCAATGTCCTATAGTTTTCCAAGTACAGGTCTTTTACCTCCTTGGTTAAGTTTATTTTTAGGTGTCTTATTTTTTTCATTGTTATAATGGTAAATGGGATTGCTTTTTTAGTTTCTCTGAGAGTTTATTATTGGTATATAAAAATGCTATCAATTTGTGGATGTTGATTTTGTATTCTGCTACCTTGCCAAATTCATTTATTAAATCTAGTAGTTTCTGGTGGGTTCTAGGGTTTTCTATATACAGTATCATGTCATCTGCAAATAATGAGTTTTACTTTCTCCTTCCACTTTGGATGCCTTTTATCTCTTCTTTTTGTCTGATTGCTGTGGCTAGGACTTACAGTACTTCCTAAATAATAAAAGCCTAATATGCAAATAGACCAAATGGCGGGATGACCAGTGGAACCACTGGTTGCTATGATATACACTGACCACCAGGGGGACAGATGCTCAACACAGAAGCTGCCCCAAGACCGAAGGCCTCAGGCCAGCCAAGGTGGGTGCCAGTGGGGGTCCCCAATCACCCTGCAGATTGGCCCTGATTGCTAGCCAGGCCTAGGGACCCTACCCTTGCATGAATGTTATGCACTGGACCTCTAGTGTTGAATAAGAGTGGTGAAAGTGGGCATTCTTGTCTTGTTCCTGTTCTTAAGGGAAACACTTTCAGTTTTTGCCCATTGAGTATTATGTTTGCTGTAGGTTTGCCCTATATGGCCTTTATTATGTTGAGGTATGATCTCTTTATTCCCACTTTACTGAGAGTTTTTCCATTAAAAAAAAAAAGGTGCTGGATTTTCTCAAATGCTTTTTCTGCATCTATTGATATGATCATGTGGTTTTTATCTTTTATGTGATGTGGTATATGATCTTTTTAATATATTGCTGGATTCAATTTGCTAATACTAGTATTTTGTTGAGGATTTTAGCATCTGTGTTCATTAGGGATATTGGCCTGTAATTTTCTTTTTTTGTAGTGTCTTTATCCTGTTTTAGAATTAGGATAATTTTGGCTTTATAAGGAGCTTGGAAGTGTTCCTTCCTCTTGAATTTTTTTGAATAGTTTGAGGAGGATGGGTGTTAGTTCTCCTTTGAGTGTTTGGCAAGATTCACCTATAAATCCAGGACTTTTGTTTGCTGGAAGATTTTTAATTACTGCTTCAATTTCATTAGTTTTTGGCCTACTCAGATTCTCTGATTCTTCCTGATGGAGTTTTGGAAGATTGTATGTTTGTAGGAATTAGTCTATTTCACCCAGGTTGTCCAATTTGTTGGCATGTAATTGTGCATAGCATTTGCTTACAATCCTTTGTATTTCTGTGGTGTCTGCTGTTATATCACCTCTTTCATTTCTGATTTTTATCTAATTGGGCCCTCTCTCTTTGTTTCTTGATGAGTCTGGTTAGGGGGTTCATCAGTCTTGTTTATCTTTTCAAAGAATCAGCTCATGGATTTATTGATCTTTTGAACTGTTTTTTTGTTTGTTTGTTTTTAATCTCATTTATTTCTGCTCTGATATTTATTATTTCCTTCTACTTCCTCTGGGCTTTTTTGTTGTTGTTGTTGTTGTTGTTGTTGTTCTCTATTCATTTAGTTGTAGGGTTATTCTCCTTGCTGAGAAGTCCAAGATGGCGTCTGTGGTGGGGACCCAAACTGCTGTTTCTGACTAATTAGATCAGGCAGACTCAAAGCCTCCAGAGAACTGCCTCTGTTTACAGTCGGTCTGCAGACCAGATTGAGTCTGGAGTAGCCTCAAGCAATTGCCCAAAGGTGGGGTGAGAGGTTTTCCAACAGGGTGGAGCAGCTGCTTCTGCCTGGAGGCTAATTGTTAGTCTCTTGATGAACCTCAGAACTCCAGGGTAGGGCAAGGAATTTCCTAATAGGGTTGATTCAACTTTGCCCTCCCACTGCCAAAGCACAAGGTGAGTGGCTGAGTTTGAAATTTTGTGTGTTGGCCCTTTAAGAGGGTCCCTGCATTTCCAATAATCTCTCCCAGGCAGACAGCAACCCTGCTGCTTTTCTCAGCCAGGTGTTATCGGGCACCTTTCTCAGTGCTGGTGCTCTGCTGGGAGGCCCAGCTTGGGGATTAGATCCCAGAATTTACAATGGCAACCCCCCCACTGCCGAGATCTCTCTCCAGAACTTCAGCTGCTGTCTGTGGGAGCCCAGCCATTCCTTTCTCACCTCCACCCTTCCTATTAGTCTCTATGCAATCTCCACTTTCTGTCCTCGGTTATCAGGGTTCTCTCCAGCTAGTCTTCATTTGATTATTTAGGGTGTTTTTTTTGTTTGTTTTTTGTTTTGTGTGTGTGTGTGTGTGTATTTTGTTACAATTCCAGTTTGGTCCTGGGAGCATGTCTGTGAGCTTCCACTTACTTCACTGCCGTTTTTAATCTCCTAAGACATAGAGTTAAAACAAACTAGCACTGAGAAATAATATGCTTCATGTTAAATGCACTTGAATAATTCCTGTAGTCCTGGCTGGTTTGGCTTAGTGGATAGAGCATTGGCCCATGAACTGAAGGGTCCTGGTTCGATTCCCGTCAAGCGCACATACCTTGACTGCAGGCTTGATCCCTCCCTAGCCATGGTAGGGCCACATGTGGGAGGCAACCAATCGATGTGTCTCTCTCACATTGATGTTTCTCTGTCGCTCTGCCTCCCCTCCACTCTCTCTATCAATGGAAAAACATCCTTGGGTGAGGAGTAACAAAAACAAAGCAAAACACACCCCCGCCCCAATAATTCCTATATAACAACAAAGAAATAATTCTTGCCTACTAAATTTCTGAAGTGTGAAAAGCACAAATACGGGGGTCATAGATTAATCCTCACCATGCAGGATGAGCACACATGGGTGGATGTATCTGTAAACCCATGGGACTCTACACAGAAGATGTGTGTTTCACCATAAATTAACTAAACATCTCTTAAGAGAAAAAAAAAAAATGCCAGGACTACGTTTCACGTAAGGCAGGACTTCAAATCTGGGAAAGGGGAACTGGACACCCACTGATTCACTGCACCAGCGAGCCATTCGTGGAGCTCCTTCTGCCACCCTGAGCTTCTAGCCTGTGGGCACCTCCTTGGGGGAGCTGCGCTGGGGGTTGGGGGATGGACGTGGCAGCCTAATTGCCAGGGAGCTGGAGGAGACACACATGGGATTTTCCTGTTTCACTGAGGTGTAACGTGTGTGTATGAAGTGTGTCAAGTGCACTAGGTCTCAAGTATAAGCAGATGGTTGCCTGCGTGGACAGCTGCTGTGGAACCACAACCCTGATCAACATTCCCAAGTTCCCCTGTATCTCCAGTCTTGACCCCTTTCCAGGACCACGGCGCTGACCTGTTGCCCCAGACTTGTTTTCCTGTCCTGGGAGTTCATATAACGAAGTTCATAATAACGAATTCATATATTCTTTTGGGTCCGACATCTATGTCTGTGAGGTTTACACTGTTGCACATCCCCACAGTTCATTCTTCAATGGCTGTGTCCTCTGCGTGAATTCACCCGCCGATGGCCCCTGGGGTTGTTTAGTTTTTGTCTGGTCAGAGCTGGGAATATTTTATACACATCTTCTTGAAGAGACTGGCATCCTTATGGGTATACTAGTCTATCTAGAAGTGGAATTGCTGAGATATGTGGTAGCTGAGATGTGTGCTCATCTTTACTGGGAACTGCCAAATGCTTTGCCACATGGTTGCACCATTTTTACCCTCCTTCCCTCCCCGCCCCCCAACAGCAGTGTCTGAGATTTCTGGTTGAATGGAACTTTTTCATGTGGATGCCACATCCCCTTGGTTGACAATCAGGATTAAAGGGCATCTCCCAGCCAAGCCAGTGTGGCTAAGTTGTTGGGTGTCAACCTATGAACCAGGAGGTCATGGTTTGATTCCCAGTGAGGGCACATGCCTGGGTTGCAGGCTTGATTCCAAGGGGGGGGGGGGGGGAAGGTAATGCAGAGGAGGCAGTCGATCAATGATTCTTTCTCATCACTGATGTTTCTTTCTCTCCTTTCCTCTCCGAAATCAATACAAAAACATGCATTTTAAAAAGGGCATCTCTCTCAAGAGGAGACCACCTGTGCTCCAGTTCTACCAGAGATGACAGTGCCTCTCTCAGGCACTCACTGCAGCCAGTTCTGCCATGAGGCAGTGTGAGGGTCCAAATCTCCTCTGTTGATTAAACCCAGTTTTGCTGGAACAATTAGGATCAGAATTGCTCTGGTCAGGTGGCTCCGTTGGTTGGAGCGTCGTCCCATGCACCCAAAGGGTGTGGGTTCAATTCCCTATCGGGGCACATAGCTCGGTTGTGGGTTCAATCCCCAGTTGGAGCACAAATGGGAGCTAAGTGATATATGTTTCTTTCATATGAATGTTTCTCTTCCTCTCTCTCAAAATCAATGAAAGGGTGAGGATTAAAAAAAAAAAAAAAAGGGGGCTCCACATCCTACTGTCTAATAAAAAGACTTGACTAAGATGTTAACAATCATTTAATGGATGCAGGTGGATTTTACAGTGATGGAAGCTGATGAACCACTTGCCCAAACCACCGTGACTACTTGCCATTTCCAACCTGGGCAGCAGCCAGAAAGACGCAGTAAGGAACAGCATGATCACTCGGCCCAAGAGGTTCCTGGGGGATTCTTACCTTCCTTCTCCTCCCTTAAGGACCTTCTCCAGGGGAATGGACGCTCAGGAGGGAGAAGGGGCTGGGGGTGAAGGAGGGGGGTGTCCCACCACAGCAGGGCACAGGGGAGTGCTGCAAACCCCACGCCCCAGAGGCAGTGAGAAGACACGGGGGCACAGGCCCAGGGCAGGCCTGCTCAATAAATACACACACACACACACACACACACACAATTCCCGGAAGCCGCCACGGGGCACAGCGGGCGCGGGGCCACGGAGCTGGGGGGCCTCGCTACGTGCGGCACACCAGCACGTCGGCAAAGGGCCCGAGCAGCAGCTTGTTGAAGATGCAGCGGACCCACACCAGGTAGGTGGTGGAGGGCTTGATGTTCTCGGTGAAGGTGTGGTTGCGCAGGGCCAGCATGTACGGCACGTAGGAGTTCTCCCCCTGCTCCTGCAGCCACACCTCGTACCGCACCTCCCGCACCTTCAGGAACTTGAGGTTCCAGGGAATCTGCCAGGAGACGGTGAGGCGGGCCTCCGAGGCGCCCTGCACGGCCGCCCGGCACCGCGCCTCCCGCACCTTGCCCGGGTACAGGCTCACCGTCTGCTTCTGCTTCTGCTTCCGCGGCAACGGCCGGCCCTTCACCACGCGCCGGATGGTCTGGATGAGGGACGGGATGTCCACCCTGGTGTCCTGGTAGATGCGGAACAGCCACTCGGGGTTCCGGCAGCAGAGGTGCTGCGGGACCTCCCGGCTCTGCAGGATGCGGGCCTGCTCGGCCGGGTCCAGGTGGGCGATGCCCCCCTCGTCCCAGGGCCGCGTGGGGTGCGTGACCGTGTTCTCGGGCGCCGTGTTCCGCCAGGCGACGTAGCCGAGGTCCATGCCGGGCAGCGCGGCCAGCGTCTTGTACGGGGTGTAGTGGTCGGGGTTGACGGCGTAGGGGAAGAGCTCCACCAGGGTGGCCCCCCGGGGCAGGAAGAGGGCGGTGACCAGCTGCGCGCCGTGCATGCTGACCAGCATGGAGGCGTTGCTGACCAGCCGCACCACGTCCGCGAAGACGTGGTCCTCCAGGGACACCGTCACCGTCTTCATCTGGAACTCCCGGGCCAGTGCCAGCAGCAGCTCCGCCTCGTTCAGGATGAGCCGGTTCTGGGTGCGGCTGAAAACCAGGATGTACTCCTCGCCCAGGGGCCGCCCCGCCGCGTGGCTCGCGTTGAGCTTGTCCGCCACGAACCGCGCGAACTGCCGGATCTCGTGGCCCGAGACCAGGATGTTGGCCTTGGGGCCCTGGGGCTGGACGAAGCCGTACTGGTACCAGGTGGTGGTCTTGGAGAGGCCCACGACGGCCCGGGGGAAGCACAGCAGCCGGCCCAGGGCCTTCAGCTGCGCCCGCAGCAGCGGCGGCTTGGGGCTGAGCAGCTGGTAGAGGGCGTCGTAGTGCGCGCCCTCGGGCCAGCCCTCCATGAAGACGAGGCGGGCGCCGCGGGCCAGGCCGGGGAACTGGCGCAGCGTGTAGAACAGGGGCAGCAGGTCGTCGTGGAACACGTGCATGAGGTTGTCGGGGTTGAAGCGGTTGGCGATGAGCGCCACGTCCGGCAGGAACACGGGCCTGGGCAGGGAGCGCAGGGCGGCGGCCGGCAGCTCCAGGAAGTTGAAGTACTGGGCGCTGTGGTCCTCCACGGAGGACAGGTCGAGCAGGGCGGGCTGGAAGCGCCGCGGGCCCAGGTTGGGCAGCATCACGGAGGCGTTGCCGTGGAAGAAGAGGAACTCCTCGGCGTCGCTGGAGTAGCAGAGCCCCTTGAAGCGGCAGATGCGGTCGGTGTGGGTGCGGCCGGTGCACACCATGCGGGTGCCGCCCTCCGCCAGGCTCTGCAGCGCCTTCGGGTCGTCGACGGGCTGGGCCTCGGGGGCCCGGCGGCCCAGGGCCAGCTCCTCCTCCAGGGCGGCCGTGTGCTCCCGCAGCCGCACGTGCTTCCACAGCACGGCCGCCAGCACCGACACCAGCAGGGCGTTGAGCACGGCCGAGAGCTGCATCCTGACGGCCCTAGTGAGGCGATGGTCCCCGGTGAGCGCCGCCGTCGCCGGTCCGCCGGGCTTCAGCCATCCCTGCGGCACCCTGAGCGCCGGCCGGCCATCGCCTGCGGGAAGGAGGAAAAGAAACGGCCGTGGGCACAGTCTGTCTGCAGTCGCCTCACGCTCCTGCTGCGGGCCAGGCCCGGGGCTCGGCTCCTGTCCCAGCTACAGGGGACCCGGGCACCGTGGGGCACACGGGCAGCACAGCGGATTGGACTGCTATTGGAGAGGACTTACTCCTGCCCAGCCAGCATGGCGCAGCGGTGGAGCATCCACCTATGAACCAGGAGGCCACCAGGATTCGATTCCTGGGTCAGGGTACGAGCCCAGGTTACGGACTTGATCCCCAGTGTGGGGTGTGCTGGGGGCAGCCGATCAATGATATTCTCTCTCTCTCTCTCTCTCTCTATATATATATATATATATATATATATCTTTCTCTCCCCCACCCCCTCTCCCTTCCTCTCTGAAATCAATTAAAAAAAAAAATACTCTTCCCCACTGCTTCAGGGTACAGTACACATCTCTCTACCTTGACTTTGGGCTTGGCCACTTAACTTGCTTTGACCAAAAAGGAAACAATGAAGACTCAAATAAATCACTAATACAAGTGACAGGATTCTGCAAAGTGAACGAGTCATAAATCGGTATTCAGAAAAAAAATGAAATAAGCCCTTCCTGAGGGGATGAGAGGCAGATGTGTGGGCATGAGCCATGGCAGGTTTTGCTCTGATCACAGACAAGAACGGCTTCCAGCAGAAACGAAAGCTAAAAGGAACACACCCAGGGAGTATCAGAAAGCAAGGCCCCAGGAAAACGAGTCGAGGGGAGAGGTAAGACCCACCTCCAACCGGAGTGGGCCTCTCAGCCCCCGTCCTCACATCTCTCATGAGCATTCTGCTACCTGCCCCTCCGAGGTGCCCTGTGGGGAAGGCAAGCTTGGCCAGAGGGGATGTGGGAGGGGGCTGTGTGAGCAGTGGCCAGTCCACTGAGCTCAGGCCCTGGGGCAAAGCCAGGCGTGGAAAGGATGGTCTGCTGGGGATGGACACCACGTCCTGCTGGACAGTGTGGTGTTCACGTGCCTACATTTCTAACCTGACCCCTCAAGCCAGGCAGCCTGCACCAAGGTCTGATGGGAACAAATGCAGACACCATCCTCCCGGGGGGTGGGGGGGTTGGGGGGAGTCGGAGGGGGGGAGAGAAAGCGCTTGGGTCCTCTAAGTTCTAAGCAGCTGCCCACAGTGGTAACAGGCCTGACACACACCCCTGTCCCCTTCCCTGTCTCCCTTCTTCACTCCCCCATTCGTGGTTACTGGAAACGAGTGCAAATTTTACACCTGAGTCCTTTCAAGACAAAGCATGGTACAGTAAGACTGTTCTTCAAAGGAAAGAGGGGGAAATAGGGACTAAAATAGGCCCAAGAACGCTCTGCCAGGCAGGCAGAAGGATGCTGCCAGTTCATCCCCCAAACTGCTTCGCTCAGCTCCCGGACCGCCACGGGAACCCCCTTCCAGGATCCACCTGTTCCAAGAGGCTCTGAGGTAGGTGTTCCGGATGCTGCCACGCCTGCAGGCACAGTAAGAGCTGGGCGACCGGGGTGGGGGTGCCACCCGCCAGGGGGCCCACCATCTGAGGCTGGGCATCTGGCTCGGGCGCAGGCCCCACTTCGGGAGGTGGGGTGCGTGCTGGCCAGCTGCCCACAGGCTCAGGAGTCAGTCACAGGGGCCTCGGCATCTGATAAGGAGTGAAGGCTCCAAGGAGTCTAGGCCTAGAGCAGAGAGTACAAACTCGCACGCTTACTGGCACCAAGAGCCAGATGGGAGAGTGAAGCCAGGGACTGCTGGGACTGCTGGCCTCACCCGCGTGCCCACCTGCAGGACGGCCAGACCAGCGGCCGGCCACTGGTCACCCCTCCAGGAGCCGGCTGCAGGAGACCCAGCGGGACCCCGGCCAAGGCGGTGCCCACACGAGGTCTTACATAGCTTTCTAACCATCTTACTTCCAAGGGCTGTGCCTGATTCTCATCGAAAAGTATAACCTTCTTTTGCCATGGAGAAGTGTTTTTATCCTACATCAGGGGTCGGCAAACTCATTCGTCAACAGGGCCAAAGATCAATAGAAATTTCTTTGGAGAGCCACATTTTTTAAACTTAAACTTCTTCTAATGCCGCTTCTTCAAAACAGACTCGCCCAGGCTGCGGTGTTTTGTGGAAGAGCCACCCTCAAGGGGCCCAAGATACAGCCTGAATGGCTCGTGCTGAACCACGGAGGCTCTCCCTCTGCACGGACATGTCTCGCACACTGTTAATAAAGTGCAAACACGTTCTGATAACGCACACATCCTCAGAATGACCTCTCCCCTAACCCCCTCCCTCCTGCCTCCCTGCTCGTGCTGCTGGAGGCAGCCTATAAGATGGAGACTGGCACCATACTGCTCACATGTGTCCCTATGTCAGACAAACAGTTACAGGTGTTTTGAGCGGAGTACCTGCCCTTTGCCAGGACGCTGGCAGCCTCTGAGTGCTCCTTGTAAAACTTCACGTTTCACTGGGCAAAGCGTAGTTAGCACTCAGCGAAGAGTCCTCCTCGCTCCAGGGTCAAGGGCAAAGCTCAGCCACATTAACAGCCGGTGCTGTGACTCGACTTCCTTATCAACACACAGGTAGGCAACGCCTGCAGAGAGGGGGACCCCACGAGAACTCTGGCGAGATGTGTGACGGGCGGAGGACAGCCGAGACTCCGAGGTTCTCAGCACAGGCAAGAGTGTCAAGAGGGTCCACCCTCGCCTGCATCCTTCTCACCAGGCCCTCCCCCGCCTTCCCAATGCAGAAGCCTTTGATCACACAGCTTCTCTACCATCACCTGGCTTTTGCTTGGCACCGTGATCACTTGCAGGTTAGGCCGGCCTGTGTGGTCCTCTCTGGCATCAGAGAGCAGCGCGACGGCGCCCCCGTGTGGCCATGAACGAGGATGCATGCAGGGAACAATCCTGTGAGTCTGCTGGGATGCTCCCCCAGGTGACATAGAACATGCCCACATCCATTTTCCCAGGTGACACTGCAAATTCCAATAAAAGCAGTCCTTACAGGGGATGCTCGGGTCCCAATGTGGACACACATCCAAGGGGCCCCTGGGTCCGGTCTTGAGGGGCTGAAGCCTCAAGAGGATCCGAAGACAACTCGGTCACTGTAGGAAGCACAAAGCGCTCCCCAGGACGTGGGAAGTGTGGGCAGCAGCACACAGGCGCCTCCAGGAAACCGCTGGCTGGGGCTGCGGCCAGCCAGGAAGGTGACGTGGGGGGCAGCAGGGGGATGGGGGGCAGCAGGGGGATGGGGGGGTTTGAGCAGGATTTTGGAGGTCATGGGGGATAGGATGAACTGCTCTGTTACATGCTGACAGGTCCCCATGTGTAACAAGGACCACTCAAATCTCTGTCTACAGCAGGCATCACTGCCTAGCTATCACATCTGCCCACCAAGCCAGTCCTGAAAGCACTAAGCTGTGGGCTCTTCACCCATCCTCGGGCAGAGGCGGCCGGACCCAAAGCCACGTGCAGCTGAGCGGGCCCTGCATTACGAGACAGGCAGATCCTGGGAGCTCAGGCTGCAGGGCAGCGCGGACCGCACCAGGGGAAAGCAGGGGGAGGAAGCTCTAGGGACCTGGGTGTCAGTGGTGGAGGCCCATGAGCTCAGGCAGCCGCTTGTAAGGCCCTCTGCAGGCTAAGGTGGGCGGTCCCTGCCAGATCCCAGGGTGCCAGCAGGTGGGTCCTCAGCCCGTTTCCTGTCCCCTTTCATGGAAGCCTCACAAAAGCTCTCCTTGCCCGTACTAAGGTAGGGTAGTATCATCTCCATTTTTTTTTTTTCTTTGATCTTCACCCGAGGATATGTTTTCATTCATTTTAGGGAGAGAGAAAAACATCAACGTGAGAGAGAAACTTCCATCGGCTGCCAACAGGGAACCAAACCCTGCAACCTGGATATGTGTCCTGACCAGGAACCAAACCCGCCACTTTTTGGTGCACCGGACGATGCTCCAACCAACCGAGCCGCCTGGCCAGGGCCTAGGGTCCTGCTCCCAAGCACTGGGTTCATCTGCCATCAGACTCCGAGGAACCACCAGCGACAGAGAAGCAGGCAGCCCTCAGAGCAATGAGTTTTATCACTTGGGAGCAGAGCAGCTGTGGAGCGCTCTGGGCCCAGGGCCCTCACCTGGAACTTAGCCACCCAAGGCTTCCTGGCCAGGCACAGCGCTACCCCCGGTGCAGGAGGCTCAGGGAGCGGGGCCATTCTCTCCCCCAGGGAAGTGTGGGTTACACACTGCCGTGACCAGTACCCCACCTGCCCTAAGCTGTGCTGGGAGGGGTAAGCCGCCAATTTAGAACTACAAAATCCCTCTTTTTAGGGCTACAAAAACCCTGCGAGATGATGTGCTCCAGCTTGTTCTGAGAGAGGTGGTGAGAGGCAGTGTGAGCTCTCACAGGCAGCAGAGAGGCAGACAGCGGGGTGCCGGGTTCAGGGCTCCCCATCACCTCCCCGGCTCACGAGTGGCCCACCCACAGCTCTGAGAGCCTTCCCAGCCCCGAAACAAGACAGTACATCTCCTAAACGCGCTCTCCAGGCCTCCCCCGGATTGCACGTGGCTTCGGCTGCCTCTTCCTAACACCGCACCTCCCAGATCACTCCCTGGGCGGGAGGATCACTCTCCACCAGCCTCTCGGGACCTCCGACCGGGACAGGACCTCCCAGGCAGCCAGGACTGCAGGGTCCGGCACACCCCCCCTGGTCCTCACACGGAAGGCGGCCCCGGGCACACCCGTGCTTCACAAGCTGCACAGGCCGGAGAGTCCGGGCTCCTGTTCTGCAGCCGAGATGCCAGGATGTGAGCTCCCGGCCTGTTGCTTAGCAGCAGCGCCACCCTGGCTGCTCTTCTTCCTTCTGACGCACAGAGGGCTGTGCGTGATT